CGGCTCTGTCAGAGATCTTTTGACAAGTGGCACGCGTTTTCTGCAAAGCTGGGAGCTTTCGACAAAGATGGCACGCGCTTTCTGAAAAGCTTGGATTGCATCTGAAGAGCTGGCGATCTTTATGCCAGAAAATCCGGTTTTGAAGAGCGGTGTCTCTTTAATTCTGAATTGGTGATTGTGTCGCCTATCCTTTAATAGAGGTGATCGATCACCTCTATCTGCACACTTTGAAAACTTCCCAAAAAATCATCTTCGGCCCGTCGAGATTTTACTCCACCCAACCCTTTTCTTTTAACTTTGTGAACAATGGCTAGCTCATCCAACCCATCGAACCTTTGCTTAGATTTAAGTCTGAGCAATGATTCGGTTACGCCTCATCAGGGTAAGGTATGGTGCCCGTCTTTCTTATCTTTTCATGGCCCTCTTACAGATGAGGACTCTGTGATGACGGATCCAACGACGGCTACGATAGTGGCTCGGAACCTCCTTACTCCCAAAGATAGTCAGTTGCTTTCTGGACGGTCCGATGAGTTGGCCGTTCAAGAGTCCTTGGCTCTTAGCGTTCAGTGCGCTGGCTCTGTGTCCAACATGGGCCAACGCCTTCTTGCTCGCTCCCGTCAGGTTGAATCCTTGATGGCAGAGGTGGAGAGTCTTAAGCAGGAGATAAAACAGCTTAAGTACGAGAACCGAAGTTTGCACGTGCTTGCCAACAATTATTCATCAGGCATGAAGAGGAAGCTTGATGAGCTTGATGACCGTCAAAAGCTTGCGGCTTTCTTCCAGAGGCACCTCTTTCCTGGGTCATCCAGCGTTCCACCAAGGTTTGGGGCCTTGAATGATCTATCTTCGGTGCTTCCCGCTCCTATGCCTCCTGCTCCGATGCCTTCTGCTCCGATGCCTCCTGCTCCGATGCCTTCTGCTCCGATGCCTCTTGCTCCGAGAGTGTTGCCACGTAGTGGGGCCTCAAGTACACAACCTTTATGAAGGCTCCATCTTTCTGCCATGTTTTTTTTTTTTTTTTTTTTTTTTTTTTTTTTTTTTTTTGTAATCACTCGGAAATCAATAAACAAGCTTTATTCACTGTATTGGGTTGCCTCCCAAGTAGCACTTTCTTTTACGTCTTGCAGCCGGACGAAGAACTTCTTTTCTCACTTAGGACCCATGACGTGGAATTTATCTTTAAATGGCGGGTGATACTTGAGATGATCCGGTAATGGTTTAAATTCTAGAGTGTGTGCCTGGATCATTAACAGCATATCAGTATAAAACAAATTTGAAATTCGGGGAGGCGGCTTACCTGTGTGCTCTGACATAAACTCAAGAACAAACACCATTCCTTTGAAAGTTTCAGGGATATTGGACTTGGCCAGATTGCATGTGAGGATTGGTCCTTGTCCTATGTCATAAAATTCAATTTCTTTGGGGTTGTTTGCCTCCAGAACATCCTCTTTGACGAATTCTTGATATTCCATACTTTGCACTTTTGGAAAGGCTTCCAAGATGTCTTTCTCACCTTCTTCTTCCTTGGAATTCAGAAACCTGCAAGGAATAGGGACATTCAGTGGAACGGGGTTAGAAATAATTAACTTTGGAACAACCTTACCTGAATTGGATGGCATAGGAGCAATAGGTGCCTGCGGCAAAGGTGTTTCTACCCTTGCCATAGGTTGCGTGTGTTCCTCTTCCTCAAATTGCAACCTTTCATCTTCCTTGTAATTTGATTTGAATGGTTTAGGGTCTGTTCCAACCTCCTTGCTACTTCCCAAGATGATTTCCTTGGCAGTTTCACATCCTTCCTTCGGATTTGCAATAGTTGAAATAGGGAGTTTGCCTTGGTCTTGAAATTGTCCTACGAACTCCGCTATCTGCCCAATTTGCTTCTCCTAGTTGTCATTGCTTTGGGCAGGTTGTGGTGGATGCATAGGTTTCGTATAGAACTCATCATATGGTTGCCAATATTCCCTTTGTTGAGCCTCCTCGACTTGGTTTTGTGAGCCCTGCACCAAACAAAGTAATTCATTAAGCTTTTGATTATAATCTATTGACGAACTTGAGTTTGGTTGGGCATATTGAATATGAGGTTGTGGTGGATGCATAGACGTTGAATAGAACTCCTCATAAGGCTGCCAATATCCTTCTTGTTGAATATGTTGAGGTTCCCACCATATAGAGTTTGAATGATCACTCCAATCCAAATTGTAAGTATTGGAAAACACGTCGTTCCTTGATTGATTATGATCAAATGCACCAACTCTTTGCGTTTGGTACTCTTCCATAAGCTGTGACAAAAGAGAAGCACTATCAAGTGCCATGTCTTGCTTCTAAAATAAAACTAAAACTATATACACACAAACGAAAATAAAACAATCCAAGAGATTAGCAAAGTTGCTAATCCCCGGCAACGGCGCCAAAATTTGATGCGAGATTTATACGCGCACAAATTAAACCCTCTTTTTATCAATTGTAGTATAAGTATAAGTAGGGATCGTTCTGGACCGGGGATTAGGAGGGATTGTTAATCACTTGGAAACTGACTCAAAAACGTAAAAACAATATAAAACACTAAACTAGACTCAAAGAATGTGAAACTAAACGTTAAAACACTAAGACAAATCAAAAGACTCAAAATGCTTTAAAAACACAAACTAAATTGATTTCTAACTAAATTGAACAATAAAGTAAAGGGGGATTGAGTTTTGGACGGAATTAAACTAAATGAACAAATTGCAATTAAAACATAATGTAAATATGAAATTGATGAAATGAAATGAATGGATGCTAGCCAAGGGGTTCATCTCCACACATGTTACGCTTTGCATAATAAAAAGATTTCTAATTGCATTTCAATAAATCATGAATTCTCAACACTCCGGGTTAATTAGGTCCGCTTAAATTAACCGTCAAGTTTTCCTTAAGTTAATGAATTGGATGATTGCATACGACAACCCAAAGCATTCCTCACAAGTTCCCTACATGAATTGCATAATAGAGATACAAGCAAGAATCATTAAGCAACGTGAAAACTATAAGTGTTGACGAGGCATTCGTTACTATGATGAGCATGAAACTCGTGCCAAGAATTCATTTAACGCGATTGTTTATAAGCAACCTCCACTACTTGTGAATATAAGTTCATAACGATTAGGTGAAATTCACTTATATTCTAGCGTCATATTTATGCATGAAAATTAAGCGCGCATTCTTAATAAACATTCATAAATAAGTTATCAATCAAACGGTTAAACAAATTGAATTCACAACTTATGAAATGTAATTAAAAGTACTCAAATCATATTGCAAGCATAAACATATATTTCGAATCACCCCCTAGCTAAGGGGGGTTTAGTTCCTCATACAAAACAAAGAGAATTGAAATTAAACATTGAAATCAAAGAAACGCCTAAACATTCCAACAACTCAAACTTGAATTGTATGAACGTTTAGGCACTCTTCTCTTCCTCTTCGTTGTAGCATAAGGTTTAGGGATAGTTGGTTGGGGGAATGGAAGTGTGGAATTATGGAAATGGAGGAAATGGAGGAAAAGTAGAAGGGGAACCCAAAAACAACAACAAGGTTGCTGTTTTTGTGTTTGTGTTGTGTATGAAAAATATGAGATGTTTTGGTGAATGGAATGCAAGGGTATTTATAGGAGGAGTGGAGATGTATATGGCTATTTGTTTAATGCGTTTGTGTAAATGTGTGTGAATGCATGTAAATGTGTGTGAATGTGTGTGAATGCATGTAAATGTGTGTGAATGCATGTAAATGTGTGTGAATGCATGTAAATGTGTGTGAATGTGTGTGAATGCATGTAAATGTGTGTGAATGCATGTAAATGTGTGTGAATGTGTGTGAATGCATGTAAATGTGTGTGAATGTGTGTGAATGTGTGTGAATGCATGTAAATGTGTGTGAATGCATGTGAATGTGTGTGAATGTGTGTGAATGTGTGTAAATGTGTGTGAATGTATGGCAAAGGCTTTGTTTATGTGTTGGCATGGGAATTTCTGGTTCTAAGTCTTTGTTTGATTTGGCTAGGTCCTTTGTTTTATGTTCTAAAGTGCACACAAAGCTTTAATTTTGTCCAACACTTTGGCTCCAAGCATAAGCTATCCATTCTTGGCCCAAAAATGCTCCAAAAGGCTCCAAAATGCACTTCTTTGCTCCTTTAGCCCTTAGAACCTGAAATCATACGAAAATGACTAAAACACTTAAAGAACTAAGAAACAACAACATAAATGCACGAAAACAAGCTAAGTAAGTCGCCTAAATATGCTCCTATCACTAACACACACATAACTGAAAGGGTTTTTCAAGTGGGTGACTTGGTGTACTTAAGATTGGTTCCATATCAGCAGTTGTCTTTGGCTTCACATCCATTTCAAAAGCTTCAACCTCGATTTTATGGCCCATTCGAAGTGTTGGCTAAGGTGGGTCTATGGCCTATAAACTCAAATTGCCAGCCAATTCGAAATTACACCCAGTCTTCTATGTCTCTTGCCTTAAAAAGCTTATGGGCGATCACATTCAACCTGCAGTTCAATTACCAGTCATTACTGATGAGGGGATACTACAAGACGTTCTAGTGGCAATATTGGAGCGAAGGATGGTCAAGAAAGGTACTACTGTAACAACTGAAGTTCTAGTCCAGTGGCAAAACCATGCTCCAGCAGATGCAACTTGGGAAGATTATGCAGATTTGAAGTCCAAATTTCCGATGCTGGCTCAATTATGATGTTTCCATTCCATCAATGCATTGTCTCAAGTGTTGTGATTTCTTTTGAAGTCTTGTGTACAAGCCTTGTTTTGAAGAGGGGGGGGGGTATTGATAGGATGTTGTGTATTGTGACATCAGCATAGTTATGTTGATAAGATTGACAGTGCTGACTAGGACAAACAAGAATTAGTTAGAATTGGTTGTTGGTTAAGGGTTGTTAGGGAGTGACTTAGGGAGGAAGCTGCCTGGTTACTATATAAGAGAATATTGTAAAAAGGAAAGGTTGTTGTAAAAGTTGATATTGCAATGAAATGTACTACCTACTGATACATTGAGTAAAAAGTAGAGTAAGGGTTGTATCAGCTACCATGGATTCACACGAAAACTAACAACCCAATCGAACCCTGAAAAACCCCAACTTTCAAATGGTTATCGCGCGGCATGGTGATCAGGAATCGTTGGAATTCTGGGAGGGGTATCAGCCTATCAGGAAATTGGTAGTTGAGCTTTACAACACAACGTAGTATGAAGCAATGAGCCCGGCACATGGAACCAACTATTGTTCAAAACACTGCCTTGCCCACAAGCTGCTTACCAAAAGTTCAGGTCCGTCATCGGGCGGATCAGGTTTGAAACCAATGGAGTGAACTCGGAGAACGTGAAGTGCTGTAATCAGATTGTGTTTGGGTTCCTACCGAGTCTCGTGTGTCGTTTTGTATAAAGTGGGGTTGATCCTGGCAAGGTGGTGAAAATTGTGCATCCTATTGATGTCGAGTTCGTTGATCTGCTCGCATATGAGCCGTTGGATCTTGCCTCTTTAGGGAAGTTGATTATGAGGAAGGCAACGCTGGGCTAAAAATTTCCCGAAAATTGAACACAGTGAGCATCAGATGAAAAGGACTGGGTGGCCAAGTCACAGAAAACTTTCAATAATGCATTCTGCAAATCCTGGTTTCAAGACTGTAAAATTAAAATTAAAATTTCAAAATATAACTTATTACATGGGATGCCAAACAGAAACTCACTAATATGGATGATCAACGATAGATACTAGAGAAAATCATTACTCAAATCATTCTATCAGGAGAGCTAGTCACTTTTCTGTCAACAGCCATTGAAACATTCATCCTAGCAAGTAAAAATGATTTGATATATGGGTTCATGTAGTTGAAGAAGAATGGGAATAAGCCTTGTTGACGGCACTCACCAAAGGCTATTGAAAATAGGGTGCAAAAGATGCAAGAACTTCCTTGTAAACAGGCTTCTTAAAATCCACAGCCTGGAGAAAGAAGAAAGAATGCATGTTGAATAATATGACCACGTAACTTTAGCTATTTGAACAAATGTATATGGGAAGGTTAACTTACATGATCAACTACTTGTTCAGGTGGCATCCATGACCACTCCCCAAACTCAGGTTTTTCACTTCCATCACCTAAAAGATTGATTTCGTCATCCTTCCCGGTGAACTTCAGAAGAAACCTGTGAAATTCCACGTGCATGTAATTCTATAAATAATACAATGTGAACGTGAGCATGGCGTTCCAAAAACACTAAAAAATTCAAATAAAATTCTTTCACTTAAGAAAAGACAAAGCAAAAGCAGAAGCAAAATTTTTGATATGGTTTAAGCAATAATTTTGAGAACCAATCGATGCACAAATGAATTCTCGGGTAATTGATAGCACGCTTAAACGATTAAACTTGTAATGATATTTAAATGAAGGTGATGGGATGCCTCTAGGTTATAATCTGGAATAAATGTGCTCAGATGATGGATGAAACAGGTTGCAGCCTACACAACATGCAAGGCTCTGTTATCCTGACACTAACCATTTCTGTGCTTGGCCTTTCCAATCTGATCCCCACTGATGCCGGAGTTTTTCCCTAACTTCTGGTGGGAAATCATAAGTTAACCAATAAGGTGCCTGGAAAAAAAAAATCCAATACTCAAAAAGGTAGATTGCAAGTGAGAAAAATAATGTCTGGACTTCTTTTGAAAAATGCAAAAACAGAAGGATACAGAAAAAGCACGGATAATAGACAGCTCTAGAATGTTCAAATATAACGGATAATATAAAAATAACTGATTACCTTCTTTTCTGTTACTTAAATAATTCCATGTTAATCAAGTAACCAAAGCATAAAACATGCGATGAAAGAAAGGAAAGAACCACTAAATGCCAACTTGACAAAACCATTCTCTTTGTTATTTGTTGATTAAGATCTAGGCCAAGCATAAATAATGAGTGTCAATTGTGGTTTTTGGCTAGATAATTGAAGAATATTCGATGCCTGACAAATTATAACCAACGAAAACAACCAACAGAATTCAACAAAGACAAACAGCTTTATCAGCTTATCCTTTTGCATTCTCAAACACATTCTTCAGCCAAATGCACTCACAAATTTACGTCAAGCATTTTAAAAATGCCCTAAAACAATGAAACAAGAGGGGAATACTAGCGTAGCATGTTTTGTACCTCTGCAAGAATTTCTGCTGATTTAACTCCTGTCTCTTCTCTCAATTCCCTGACGGCTGCACTTCTTGGATCTTCAGCCTCATCAATGCCGCCCTTTCCAAAACAATTTAAAAAAACAAAGAAAGTATTTCAGTAAATTGAAAATAAAGAAATCTCACACTAAAGGAAGCAAAGTTGTCTAAGATACTAAAAGCATGTAACGACCACAGCTAGTAGCTGTACTTGAACACTAATCACCCTACATTCTAGTTCGTAATAGTTGTAAAATTGATTCATTCATGCGTCAAGCAGGCCCATAGAACAGCATATTTGCACTAGTAACTTTGTATATGCAATACGGTTTCCAAACTCAACAATGTTCATTTAGACCTATATGGCCACCAATCACCGCATTAAAATATCAGGGGATACCACCACTCTGCCCTTTTGGATACTCTATCTCTATCCTTGAGTTTGGATGAGGGAGTTCAAAGTAACATTAGATTTTACGCTAAATTTGTTAGGAATGCACTACATAGATTAGAACATTAGATAAAAAAGGGACTTGAGGATGACTAGATGCAATAGATTCGAGAGAACTTCAGTGACACGGGTCGTTTGTTTAGCGTCTTTGTTGTGCATTTGTAGTGTTATAATAGTAGCTTTGTAGTGCATGAGTGGTTCATTGGTAATCTTCTTCTAATTGTCATTCAAAAGTTCCTCCTCTTCAGCAAATATATACAGAAAGGAGTACACAAAATCTATCAGATCAAATTCCAAGTTCTAAGTAAATGCTCAAAAGAAGCTTAAATTATATGTGTACGTGCAGTGTATATGATTGAGTGCTCGCAATTGATGGAACTCAGAAAATTTTATACAACAAAATGTATGTATGTATCATGTATGCATATGAATCGAACTTCCACATATATTGCATATTTTCCCCATAAATCAAAATGGTTACAACTTACAAATAGAACTAAAAGCCTAAACATTCAATCCAAAACTGTGACCAAATTTACCTGCGGCATTTGCCACGCACTGGGAATATCCAACCTCGAAGCAGCAAAAATCTGTGGAGATAACAAACATACATAGACAAGTTCAGTTCATTGACAAAAACATACAACAAAAAAGTAAAAAGGAGATGGAGAGAGACCTTTTTCGAATCATTGATGAGGCAGATGCCGACGTTCCTTCTATAACCTTCGGGAGGCGCTTCCATTGCCGTTGAAGAAGAAGATTGGGAAGAGGTACACAGGAGTCTGGTTCTGGTATAAATAATGGGGTTCCGGCGGAGGAGTGGCAGATGCGAAAATTTAGCGAGTTTAGGAGGGCAAGTTGGGAAGGATGGAAATCGATAAGGAGGCCTGCTGAGAATCGATAGAGGGGGAAGATGGAGTGTAGAATTAAGCAATCCAAATCGGCAGCATATATCCATTCAATTCCAATGCTTCTCTCACCATCGTTGAAGGGGAAGGCATCTTATAATTTGCTAGCAAATTGCACCTCTATTTAATTTTTTTAATTATTGTATTTTCTTTCATTTTTTATTTGTTGTTTTTATAACTGATAGGAGCATATTTATGCGCCTTAGTTAGCTAGTTCTTATGCATTTTTGTTATGTTTTATTCGTTAAAGTAGTCTTTTAAGCTACTTTCATGTGTTTTCAGGTTTAAAGGACATATTACATGAAATGATGCAATTGGGAGCTTTTGGAGCAAAACTGAGCTGGAATGTGGTGTATGCAAATGGAGCACGAGGAATGAACGAGGTTGAAGGTCAAAGGAGCTTAAGAAATGAAGAAATGAAAGTGAAGAGCAAGGAAGTCGGAATTGGTAACCAAAGTTTCTAAAGTTGGAAGTTTCTATTCTTGGAGGTTTCCATTGTCGTGAGTTTCTATTCTTGGCTTTGGGCTTTTAGATGACCTAAACCCTAACCTTAGCCCATTTTAGAGCCATTGCCATGGGCTTTAGCCCAAGTCCTTTCCCTTGCCATGCAAGGGGAGGCATTTTAGGCCCAAATCCATGCATTAAGCCCTTCACCCTAATTGGCCCAAATCCATGCATTAAGCCCTTCACCCTAATTCTTCCTCCTAATTAGTGCATCCCACCATTCCATTCCATAATTTCCATTAGTGCATCCCACCATTCCATTTCATAATTTCCATTAGTGCATCCCACCATTCCATTCACACTTAAATGCCCATTATCCCATTTTTTTTAGCTTTTAATTCCACACCATCCCATTATCCTTTACATCCACTAAACCATGCATCCACATTCACCTAAATAAACCCTAAATTACATCCACTAAACCATCCATCCACCATAATTCCCACCATCCACACCTTTTCCCATCCACCAAATACCTTAAACAAACATCCATTAACACCCATTCTCTTCCTATAAATACCCATTCATTCCATTCACCAAATCATCTCATTTTCCATTGTAATACACAAACACTTCCCCTTCTCCATCTTCTCCATTTCCACTCCATTCCACACTTCCATCCCCCCAACCAACCTATCCTTAAACCTTGTGCTACAACAACGAGGAAGAGAAGAGTGCCTAAACGTTCATACAATTCAAGTTTGAGTTGTTGGAATGTTTAGGTGTTTCTTTGATTTCAAAGTTTCATTTTAATTCTCTTTGTTTTGTACGTATAAGGAATGGAAGAGAAGAGTGCTTAAACGTTCATACAATTCAAAGTTTTGAGTTGTTGGAATGTTTAGGTGTTTCTTTGATTTCAAAGGTATGAGGAACTAAACCCCCTTTAGCTAGGGGGTGATTCGAAACTATGTTTATATTTGCAATATGAATTGATTAACTTTCGTTGGAATTTCATAAGTTGTGGATTCAATTTGTTTAACCGTTTGATTGATAACTTATTTATGAATGTTTATTAAGAATGCGCGCTTAATTTTCATGCATAAATATGACGCTAGAATATAAGTGATTTTCACCTAATCGTTATGAACTTATATTCACAAGTAGTGGAGGTTGCTTATAAACAATCGCGTTAAATGAATTCTTGGCACGAGTTTCATGCTCATCATAGTAACGAATGCCTCGTCAACACTTATAGTTTTCATAATACTTAATGATCTTTGATTGTATCTTTATTGTGCTGTTCACGTAAAGGACTTTTGGAGAATGTTGTGAATTGCGTTGCGCAAACCCATCCAATTCATTAACTTAAGGAAAACTTGACGGTTAATTTAAGCGGACCTAATTAATCTGGAGTGTTGAGTTTCATAATTTATCGAAAGACCAACTGAGAATCAATCTTGTATGCAAGTATAACATGTGTGGAGAAGAACCCCTTAGCTAGCATTCATTCCATATTTCATCACATTCATATTTAAATTCTACCTTTAAATTACAATTTGTGCATTTAATTTATTTTCGTCAAAATCTCAATCCCCCTTTACTTTAGTGTCCAATTTAGTTAGAAAGTGTCTTAGTTTGTGTTTATAAGTGTTTTGTATTCTTTGAGTCTTTTGATTTGTTTTAGTGTTTTAATGTTTGTTTTACATTTTTGAGTCAGTTTCCAAGTGATTTAGTAATCCCTCCTAATCCCCGGTTTAGAACGATCCCTACTTATACTTATACTACAATTGACAAAAAGAGGGTTTAATTTGTGTGCGTATAAATCTCGCATCAAATTTTGGCGCCGTTGCCGGGGATTAGCAACTTTGCTAATCCCTTGGATTGTTTTATTTTCGTTTGTTTTTATTTTTCCAGATTCTTATATTTGTTTTGTTTCTTGTTTTAGGTACTAGTTCATGACTCGGAGTTCTTATCCGATTCGTGAACATATCCTGGAGTGATTGGGTTCTTCGTCCGGCTGCAAGACGTAAAAGAAAGCGCTACTTGGGAGGCAACCCAATACAGTGAATAAAGCTTGTTTATTGATTTCCGAGTGATGAAAAAAAAAAAAAAAAAAAAAAAAAAAAAAAAAAACATGGCAGAAAGATGGAGTCTTCACAAAGGTTGTGTACTTGAGGCCCCACTACGTGGCAACACTCTCGGAACAGGAGGTATCGGAACAGGAGGTATCGGAGCGGAAGGCATCGGAGCGGGAGGCACCGAAGATAGATCATTCAAGGCCCCAAACCTTGGTGGAACGCTGGATGACCCAGGAAAGAGGTGCCTCTGGAAGAAAGCTGCAAACCTTTGACGGTCATCAAGCTCGTCAAGCTTCCTCTTCATGCCTGTTGAATAATTGTTGGCAAGCACGTGCAAACTTCGGTTCTCGTACTTAAGCTGTTTGATCTCCTGCTTAAGACTCTCCACCTCCGCCATCAAGGATTCAACCTGACGGGAGCGAGCAAGAAGGCGTTGGCCCATGTTGGACACAGAGCCAGCGCACTGAACGCTAAGAGCCAAGGACTCTTGAACGGCCAACTCATCGGACCGTCCAGAAAGCAGCTGACTGTCTTTGGGAGTGAGGAGGTTCCGAGCCACTATCGTAGCCGTTGTGGGATCCGTCATCACAGAGTCCTCATCTGTAAGAGGGCCATGGGAAGATAAGAAAGACGGGCACCATACCTTACCCTGACGAGACGCGACCGGATCACTGCTTAGACTCAAATCTAAGCAAAGGTTCGATGGGTTGGATGAGCTAGCCATTGTTCACGAAGTTAAAAGAGAAGGGGTGGATGGAGTAGATTTTCAAACGGGCCGGAGACGATTTCTGGGCAATTTTCAAGTGTGCATGCTAGAAGGTGATCAATCACCTCTATTAAAGGAGAGGCGTTCACCAATTCAGAATGAAGAGACACCACTCTGCTCGTCAGACGCAATCCCAGCTTTTCAGAAGACGCGTGGAAGGCGAGAAATCAGCTGCACACTTTAGCTGACAAATGTGGCAGACAAAGCCGAAAGCTCCCGGCTTTCCAGAAAGCATGTGCATATTTGTCGAAAACTCCCGGCTTTGCAGAAAACGCGTGCCACTTGTCAAAAGATCTCAGACAGAGCCGCATCCGCGCTGCTACGTGTCGTTCAGAAAACGAAGGGCATCGTTCAGAAATCGAAGGGGCGACTGCTCAGAAATCGAAGAGGCAAATTCAAAGATCGAAGAGTCGTCACTATTTCAAAAAGCCGGATTTGCGGTATCAAAACGTTTGTCGACAACGGTAAAAGAACAGTACCACCACTTGCTATTGAATTCCCTATATATGTCGACCTTCATTTTTTTTTGGCAAGACAGAACTGAAGAAAATGCCCAACTCTTTCTCACCTCTGAGGGTGCACTCCCAGCAAAGCCTTTCAAAATACTCCATTCTTTCTTCTTCCCCAAAGATGATACCAGATGCCTGGAGTACAGATGACCCAGGAGGAAACAGCACCACAAATACATGTGCTGATTCATTCACCGCTTCTTCAAAAGCAAAGGTATCTCATATCATCAAGGGCAAAAGCAAAGGTATCTCATATCATGCTCTTTCCCTGTCTTTTCCTTTGTCCTTGATATTACTTGCATGACAAAGTGAAAGAAGCAATCAGCCGGCACTTGGAGTCTATCTGGACTCTATTCCCTGGTTGCTTACCTAGCTTTGCCGAGCTATCCTCTAACCCTCTTCAATACGAATTGGAGAGATTGAACAAAGAAACAGATAAAAGGAGGAAGCTCAGACCTTCGGGGGAGACCAAAGGAAGCCTGCTACCCAGTTCACGAGTAGCACAAAGGAAAATCAACGATGGGAGCAGCGCATTTCAAGAGTAAGCCTGTGGAATCACTCAAGATGAAGCCTCACTGCAATCACAAAGGAGAAGATGGAATTTACACTCAACAACCAGATTTGCATCTCTAAAACTCTTCTCTTTGATAGATACATTCTGCCATGTTTAGTATGTTTAGTATGTTTAGTATGTTTAGTATGTTTAGTATGTTTAGTATGTTTAGTTGTTGTTTTATATGTTTTCTTTTGTTTGGTGTGTTTTAAGCTTAAAACATTGAGGACAATGTTTGATTTAAGTGTGGGGGGGTAACTAAGTATGTTGATGCAAAATTGTTGGATTTTATCACCCATAACTTCAAGTGTTGTTCCTTGCTGTTTTAAAATGTTTTTAAACTGTTTTAGTGTGTGTTGACTTAAAAATCCGAAAATACCATAAAAATTTGAAAAATTGTTTTGAAAAACCCAAAAAAAGTTGTTTTTGTGTGTTTGTGTCGTAGGTCACCTTCCAACACAATGATGAGGATTTGGTTTTTAATTGCATGATGGTTAAAGAAAGTTACAAACATGGATGGACGTTTGATATACTCTTTGGTTTATGCTTGGTTGTCGTTATAGTTTACGAATTCACATGTAATCACAAATAATAAAAATTAGTTTTTGTAACATGCTTGAAGGAAGGAACTCAAACAAACGCTACATCCCTGTGAGACTTGAGCCTAAAAGTTATTTGGAGAGTAATAATCTGTGCGTCATTGTTTTCTAAAGTCGTTGCATGATCTCATTATTC